CGATATATCGAGGTATGCAATACTCTTTTTAGTTGAAATGTATGCTTACTCGGGTGTATGCCAATTTTCTCCCTCGTTGGCTTCAGCTGGAGGTGGAGGTGGAACTTCTCTAAAATTAAAAACATAGTTTTTTATAATTACAGTAAAAAATTATAATTTAATTAGCGTAACTATAATTTCGATGAAAGTTTTCATTTTCATATTATTAATATATCATAATTATAAATATTTAAAATACAATTTTTGAGTTGTCCTTTAACGAGATTAGCTTAAACTATGAAATTTTTTAAAGGTTGTTATTATTTTTTCAAGTGCGATTGGATGCGCCATAGGTCACTCTCCGGCTCGGAGGACCAAAAAATGTCGCGTCACTTCGCGAGTGAATTCTGTGGAATTCGACGGGTTGTAAGACCGTCTCGCGATCACGTAATGTTGCCTGCCGAATTAATATTGAGCAACTGTTTCAGTTTGCACGAGCAAAAGGAAGGTCACGGCTGGAGTCAAACGATAGACTCTTGTACAACGAGAGGGATTAAACTCTTGATGATCTCGATAAGTAGGCTCTGAGATTCTCTATTCGGCGTTTCGTAGAGAACTGACTGACGACTCGATTGGAACTCGTCTCTTCAACGATTCGAGGAGAACTCGACTATTCGACGATTCGAAGAGGATTCATGCTCCTCGATTTTTCTAAGATCGGTTTTAGGAAAAATTGGGAGCTCGCCAAATATTATTGGCTGATTTGACCAAGGGCGTTCTCTTGGTGCGGAAATCGGTCACCTTAAAGTGAGGGAAGGTTCCCCCAAACGAAAACGGTAGTGGAGGAAACCCTTTCCTCCAAAATGAAGTACGTGGCGCGCTGGTGACCCCATCGACCGTTTATGGCCCCTAGCTAGGGCCTGAGGCTTCCAACGTGCGCGGGCCATGTGGAGCCCTCAGGCTTATTGTCAGCCAAGTCGTAAGTGCTGTTGCCTAATTTCGTTAAATTAGGAATTTCCAGGATTCTCGTGTTCCGCGACACGAGAAGTCAAAGAAAAAAGATAAAGCAGTCAAACATGCTGACGGCATGGAGAGGAAAATTCCGATGCCGAATTGTTTGACCCTAAGACCTGGCTGTTGGAAGACCGTAATGGGTCTTCTTTGTTCCACAACGGAACATCTGCTTCACATTAAGAAATATTGCTGCACAGTACTTTTTCTTCTCTATGGACTTGTTTATTTCTTGGACTATTCTGTGACACTGTTGTATTGTAGAATGATGCTGCCTAAATCCGAATTGATGATCAGTGAAAGTTTGTTTAGATGAGAAATGTTTAGTTAAATAAAAATGTTTACTGAAAGTTTAATTCTATGGAGTAGTAATTTTTCTAGTATCTTGGAAATAGCTAGTAGAGGTCCATATGAGCATACATCATTATGGTCTTTGCCTGGTTTAAGAACTATGAGAATTTCAGCAGTTTTCAATGTCGTAGGCCAATAGTTTAATCTTAGAATGGCAATAAATATATATGTTAGCATAACTAGCCCTTTTCGAGAAAGTTGCTTAAGCATAATTGGTGTTATTAGATCCATTCCAGGAGATTTCTTGTTGGCTAGACTATGAATTGTATTTTTCATTTCCCAGGGGAGATAGCCTTAATTGTACCCAAATTGTCTTTACATAAGTTGTTGTTGGTCAAGAAATTTTCTATCTCCTGATCAGAATCCAAGCTGTTAGGAGAGAAAACATTCACAAAATATTCTGCAAACATGTTCAGCCTTTTCCTTGTCACTTCTTGCCCATGGGCCTGGAGAATTTGTTTGTTTCCTTATTGGAGAATTCAGTTGGGCAGGATTTGTCGCTAGTTTGGTTGCTCTCCATATAGAGTTATTATATCTGTTTATCTTAGTTAAATAATTCTCAAACGAAATATTTCTTAGCTCCTCAAGCTTGCGTTTAAGGACATTACTTAAGTGATTAAACATGGTCTTGTCCGCAGAAGAACGAAATTTATGCCATTTCACCCTAGCTTTCCTTTTATCTGTAATTAACTTTTTAATAACAAGTGGAATATTTTCTGGAGTTTTATTATATGTAACTTGTGGAATAGCATCCTTGGCCGCTTGCTGAAGAACTGATATTAAATTTGTAGTAGCATATCCTATTTCCTCAGGTGTTTTTAACCGTGTTTTTAGATAGATATTGTCGTTAATGTTATTTTTATACATATCCTAGTTAGTTTTTGAGTTGTGTAGTTTAGTTTATGGTTAGTTTAGTTAGTTATTAGTTATTATGTAGTTTATGGTTTCCCCATAACATATTTTTACAATTGAAATTACCTCCTACCATAAATTTGAGTCCAAATGTGTTAAAATAGGCTTCAAAGTCATTTTTTTTTTTTTCAGATTGTGTCTGGGCAGACCGTATACTGCAGAAACTGTTATGTCATAAGGCAGAGTTTTAACCTGAACTATTGTGACTTGTAGATAGTCTTCGGTAAATCTTGAGAGCTCGAAGTGATCAATTGTCTTTTTGATTAATAAGGCTGATCTAGCATGGGCAGTATTGTTCGGATGATTGGTATAGTAAAATTTATAATATGGGATTTTGAAATAGGACTTATCAGTAATATGAGCTTCACTAATTAAAAGTATGACTATTAGGTAATATTTAAGGAAAAGTTTAATCTCTTCCTTATGTTGGGCAATGCCATTGGCATTCCAAAGGGCTATTCGAAGGAACTTGGCCATTTTTAATTACAATCAGCTTGGATGGCATGTTTAATACCATGCTGTTTTGATTTATAATCTGATTGAACATAGTTTTAAAAACATCCAGAAAGTTATTGAGAATACTACTGATACTTTCATTACTGTTAGTTATGTGAGTGGTTGGATGATTAATTAAATTATTTCTCACTGCATTCGCATAGCTTTCTCCTAAATGTACTGATTTGGTTGACGATGTAGATGTTTGTATCTTCAAAGTAGTATTTGTTGCTGTATTTGGTTGAGTAATTTTTTTTGCAGGGTTGTTTCTGTTATTAGTGTTTTTATAAAAGCGTTGATAAAATTCACATCCTTTGTAGTTGGCAGAGTGAGGTCCTCCACATAAAACACACGTAGTTGGGGAATCACTTCTTTTCCTATAATTCACAGTGTTGTGAGATCCTCTACATTTTACACAAGCAAAAGGCCTGTTACATTATGTTTTTGTGTGACCATAGAGTTGGCATCTGGTACATTGCACAGTATTTTTTGTTTTCCTCTGTGGTTCTATTCAGATAATACAGCTCTGCAGTCTTTGAACTTTAAAAACTTCTTAGTTGCTTTTAGCTGGTTCAAGATCAACAAAGAACAAATTCAGGAGCTTTTTTGTTTGCTTATGTTTGGCGTTTATTATGTGGCAAACTGTATGGCCCAAAGAAGTTAGCTTCTCAGCAATATTATCAGGATTCATAGAATCATGCAGATATTTAATAACGATTCTATATGCCTTCTCTTCTTTAAGTTGATATGCGTGGAAAATAATATGATTGTCCTTCATGTAACTTATTAGAGCTCTGTATAAATCAGGATCAACGCAGTTAATTTTGATGACATTGTTTGCCATACTCTTGGTACTGAATGAATTTCTCTTTTGACACTATTTCATTTAGTTTAACTATCATTTTCAGAAATTTAATTACTCCATAGACAAAAATCGGTGGTGGTTTAGGAATTTTTGGTTCAATGGGTTTTGCATTGTCTTCATCTTCTGTAGTGAGCGAATCAAATTTGTTACTCACCGTTATAACATCATCATTCAATCCTTTATTTTCCTAAGTTTTTCTACGCTTCACTGATCTTACAACTTGCCACGAGTTGTCTTTACCTGCATTCACTGCCATAGTTTCTTCATCGCTAGAGGGTATTGTAAATTCCATTTGCGGTACTTTGTTAGTCTTTTGCTGCAATATCTGTTGAGAATGATGCGTATTTTGAGTTAACAAATAGTTTTGGAGAGTTAATTCCGCATTAACATTATCGCTATTTTGTGATGACACTATATAATTATTATTTAAGAGTTTGGTGGTACATAGTGTCTGGAGGGATTGAGGTTGTAAATCTTGACTATTCCGCATAGTGTAACATTGTACTGATTGGTAAGATAAATTGTAGATTGCACTTTCAGGTCCGTTTCCCACTGTAAACATTGTGTTATAATATATGCAGGAGTCTCTAAGCAAGTCGCAGCCTGCTGGCTGTTCTGCTTGTAGCGTACCCACTCGCTCTCTTCCGCTTACACACGCATGCTCGCACTGTCTTGCTGTTGAAACAAAGGACACCGAAGGCACTAGGGAAAACGACACACGTCCTAACCCTTTGACAGCTAGAGCTGAACTGATTTTCTTTACTTGTGTAATCAAAATCAGTGTAATCGAAGACTAAATATATTTTCTAGTATAAATCTGAAAATTATAACTGTTCCCCGTTCCTTTTATGCATTTTTTATAACAAGATTATTTCTGAATTTGCTGCCGATTATTTACAATTTTTAAGTGCATAAGCTTCCTTTTTAGTTGTAATACCGTTACATTGTGGAAAATGAAAGAAAATAATCTGTCGATATAACCGGATTTCTTCGTTCCAGGTAATGAATTCCCGATCAATTAATACGGTAGTTTGACATAATAGTTCATATTTATTCAATAAATTGTATTCAATCGAAATATTTTGTTTTCTTGTACAACGTTTATTCGTCGACAATAAATTGCAAAACAAATTGTACCCAAAAATCGATGAATGGTTCAATATCTCTACTGTTTCCTTCAGACTTTTATTTCAAGGTTAGAAGATTAGGAAATTCGATTTAACATGTTGATTACAATATCGCATCGTAAAAATTTACGTTAAGGAGAAAAGAAGGAATGGTATATATCAGTTGCTTGGAATAATATTTGAGACAACTTTGTTTTTTATCATCAACAGATGCAAGCCAATGATATATCATCGAATCATTAAAATCGGTTAAATTTCTCTTATTCGTTGTTTATTATCTTCAACGATACCACAAATAATTTAGATGTTTGACTTAAACGAGACAGTCTGTATATGTATCTACGATAACGTAAACAATAGGTGGTATTATAAATGATTAAGAATGGCTACTAATGACATTTAATGAAAAATTGGACTTACGATTCCGTAGATAAGAGGCTAGTATCTTTTATAACAGTTGGGAACTTTTTATACACGAGAGACAAAATGTGCGCAGTTGGCGTACTTGCTATCATAATAACTATGCACAAAAACGTGGCAAACCAGTATCCACTCTGAAAAGTACAAAGTGAGTTTAAAATGTTAACTAAACTATATTTTTAAACATTTTTATAAAATTTTTCGCTTATATAATTACTTACGTACCAAATTACCTAAAAAATGATTACACAGTAAAAGCTTAATTCCTTCTATGACATCCCAAAGTGGTCGGCATTTTGCAGCTCCGTTGCCCATTTCGGATAATACGTGAAATCTCCATTGGTCAAGGTAATTAGCTAGTCGATCTATGTAAATCTTTGTTTTCTGCGCATAAAGTATAATAATTATTACATTTGTGCAACAATTCGTTAAACAGTCACAAAATATCGTATAATCATATTTAGGCATAAGATAGACATCGATAGATCATATAGTATCTGTCGTTCTACCGTCTAATAGACATTTAGTCGTACAATACTGTAAGATGCTATCCCGGGGAAAGAAATCGCGAATCGGCGAATGCTAATTAACGATCAATAAAAGCACGTCATCGAGCTTTGCAAAGGGCATAAAAACAGGATCTTCGACGACACAGGGAGAGACCTGAGTGAAGAAGCTTTGAAGAATTTTCGTGAAAATAGATTGTGACCGGCACAAGCGTGAGTCGTTCGGTGTCGGAGAGAGACGAATAGAAGCATGTATTCCGTGTATTAAAGTTACATTATTTCAATATTCTTTTCTCGCGTTTAATCAATTTCCGGGTTTGATGTTCATTTCATTCTCTTTCTTTCGTTTCATTCGTTTTCGGTGTCTGAAACCGTTTGCGCATACTCGATATTCCTCCTGATAAAATAAGGAATAGATACGCGTTATTTCTGTAGGCTGAAGACAGAATAAAATCTGTTTTTGGCATTGTACCATACACATTTTCCTTTCGATTTCACTTTTTAATTATGCGATATACATCTTGCGTATAGTGAAGCACGATGTAATGAACGTGCAGTAGCGATAAGCTACGCGGAAAAGTTTCTAAGCGTTAGGAACTTTTGACGATATTGTCAAAGACCTTTGACAATAGCGATCGGCGATTAAGAGAGTTTGGAAGTTTCAAGGAATATCACCATAGGAAATTTGTCAAATTGTGACAAATAAACCCACAAGTAATGTTCGACGTATAAGTGCCATTTGTGATGTCTAAATCAGCAGTTTGGAATGTGTTACATAGAAACTGATTTCATGCATTTCATTTTCAAAAAGTTCAAGAATTACATTTTAACGATGGATCAAATTGAGTAGTATTTTGCCAATGGATGTTACAGAAACGATTATTGAATCCAATGTAATATGTAATATGTAATATGTAATATGTAATATGATACTATTTACCGATGAAGTTTCGTTTACGAAACACGGTGTATTGAATTTTCGTAACAGTCACATGTGGCGCGATGAAAAAACTCATGTACAGCATCAATTTTCTATAAATGTGTGGACGGAGATTGTAGGCGACAAATTGATAGACTCTTATAGAATGTCATGCAGATTAACGGCTCAATCTTATTTACAATTTCTGCAAAATAATCTTCACCATATGTTGCATCACGTTTCATTGGAAACACGCTACCAAATCTCGTTTCAACATGATGGTGCTCCGCCATATTTTCAACGGAATGTACGTGAATTTCTTAATAGACAATTCCTTCAACGTTTGATCGGTCGTATCACTTATGGCGTCATGCAAAAATATTAGTTTATAAAAATCCGATAGAAACAGATCAACTTTGGACATATATTCAAAATGCATTTATTATTATATCCAATACAAATGGAATATTCGAACATTTCTTATAAGTGTCACAAAAAGTAATATATATGTGGGGGTTGCGAGCAGCGTAAGACTCTAGCAAGGGAATAATAAACAGCGACGTCGGCTTCGACTTACAATTAGATGTTCAGGACGATATCTGGAGCGTATGAGAACGGATGAGATATTTATGACTGGGTCGAGTGATTGAGAGGGGAAAGCGTGTGTATGAAAAGAGAGAGTTTTGACTTTGAGTAAGGGTGCAAGGGCGCGGACGAGGCAGATTGTGTGTGGTCAAGACGTAGTGAATAGAGGATCGTGTGTCTGAGAGTTAGAATTAAGAGGAACTTAATGTAATACGTTAACCCTTAGAGCGCGGACGACTCTCTGCCGAAACGCTCCAGAGGGACTGTGCGTGCTTAGCGCTTACGATCGCTGTGGACGGAATACTTTTCGCTCGTGCGAGCTTCGTTGATTAACTGTTCAGGGCGCAACTAACAAGTGATTATTGTAATTCTTTTGCAGCAGGTTAGATAATAAAAGAACGTTATCTTCAACCATCAATTATCTATTAGAATCAATATAATTTACAATATAACTTAACATAAAAATAGGGAACAAAAACTAAACAAAAATTAATAGTTTATTTGTGTATGATAAACTTTTTTATATCGTTAATATTGTTATACGTATACTATATTGTTAATACGTTACTAATGATACTCACAACAGATATACAAAGGAATAAACCCATCCTCGCGTATATTATTTGTTCCATTATTTGTCTTTTTTTACTGCCGATGCTAAGAAACACAGATATATTTGTCTCGCGTAAAGTTACATGTAATACTATAAATGGAAGACCGAAAAAATTGAACAACGCATATATGCGTCCACCTTCCCTGCTGGTAACTTTCGTCGGACGCATATATGCGTCCATAGCGCTCTAAGGGTTAATTAAATAAACCTGTTTTGTTATTAAAAAGGAGTTGTTGTTTATTAGACGCGCAGATCTCGGTCTGCATAGGATTAATCTAGCCAGAAATCCTACATATATGTATATATATTTGAACGCTTATATCTTTTCAATAAAGCCTTTTCGGACGCCATAAGTTTATATGAACTTTTTCCTTTTATTTGACCTCGGTAACACGTGGTCTCAGTTTAGTTGCAATCTTTCTGGACACTCCCCAAACCCCCTTTTCGTATGCAGAGTGTCTCAAGGATCATTGGGCAGGATTTTTCAAGGTGGGAGAGGAATTGTAATAATTGAGAATTTTTGTGATCGTAACGGCGAAAGAAGGTGATGAAAAAATGCGGAAAGGTTAACAGATGATTTGAGAAAATAGGACAAAGGGCAGGGAATAAGTATAAGAGCATTTAGAGATATAAGTTAGACGGAAAGGAGTAGAGGTTAGGAATCTTACAGGTATATAGTAGAGGGAGCCATGAACTCGGCCGATAAGTCAGGTATCTTAGAAGGAGGTGTGAATTAAAAAGGAAGACCACCAAAAGCAATAGGCATAAGTGAAAAACAAGAAAAAGGAAGCAGGGATATGGGAATGTTACTAAGAGAGACGAAACGGAAGAAGGATGAGGAAAAGCAGGAAATGACAGAGGTATATGTAGAACGGGACCAGGATCAAGAAGATGACTATAATAATTACGAAGAAAAAGAACAAGGGAATGATATAATAAGTGAACTGGTAAAAGCAGTCAAGGAACTGATAGAGGAAAACAGAACAATGAGGGATGAGATAAAAGAATTAAAGAAAGAATTACTTGAACGAGACAAAGAAGAAATATCTCAAGTAAAAGAGGATATACATAGATTGGAGAAAGAAGCTAAGAAAGAAAAGGAAGAACGGAGGAAAGAAAGGGAAAGTCTAAAAGCACACCTAAAAGAAGAAGTAAAGAAGAAGTGTACAAAAATAATGGCTGAAATAGGAAACAAGAACGAAAAGAGGAAAGGAGAAAGCAACGACAAAGATATGAGATTTCTAAAGGAATACGTACAGAGGCAAGAGAAATGGGAAAAGAAAACCAATATTATAGTAAAAGGATTGGAACTAAAGGAACAAGATGTCAAAAGGGAGATGGAACATCCTGTACGAGAGAAAGTAGAAGTCGAGTGCGAGTTACTCTGGGTAAAGAAGATAGGGAAAGGAGAGAAAATAAACAAAACATCATGAGAAAGAAAAAGAAATTAGGCAGAGAAAGTATTTACATAGAGCAGGATCTCACCTACATGGAAAGAGAAGTACAAACGGAGATTGCAACAGAAGTGAGGAGGATAAGAATGGAAGTGAGCGGCGAAGGCAGGATATCAAAAGATCTGGGTAGAAGGAGAGTGGATAAAGTGGGAAGACTGGAACCGAAAGGATAAGAAGGATTTTTAAAGGGATCAGGAAATTTAGGAAAGACGGAGAAAGAAACATGTAAAATGTATAGTATGGAATATAGCAGTAATAAAAGGAAAGCCGAAAGAGGTATAGGAAGACCTATCTCGATACGATGTAATAGGTTTAGTAGAAACATGGATAGAAGAAAGAGAATGGACAAAAGTAAAGAGGACACTACCGAAAGGATTTAACTGGCACTGTGAACCGACCTGCAGAAGAGACAAGAAGGGAAGAGCAAGTGGAGGCATAATCACGGGAATAAAAGAGAAATGGAAACAAAACAGATAAAATAATAGAGACCCCGGTATGGTAGAAAGGAAAATTAAGATAGGACAGGAAGGATGGATTTTTAAAATAGTATATAGGAAGCCAGGATCAGACGAAGTGAACAATTACTTGCAACGATTGGGAGAAGATCCGGGATGTGATACAAATTTGGTTGTAATCGGTGACTTCGATACGAGGATAGGAAGAAAGGGAGAAAGAGTAGAATGGGAAGGGAACTTATGTGAAAGGAAATCGAAAGATGATATTATAAATGAAGATGGTAAGAAACTATGGAAAATGGTGAAGGAAAACGGATGGCACACACGGAATGGAAACACAGCAGGGAATGAAGAAGGCGAGTTTATATTCATCGGAGGCAGAGGAGCCACGATAATCGACTATGTATTCACGAACACCCAAGCATGGAATAACATCAAAGACTTTGAAATAGGAAATAGAACGGAATCCGACCATCTACCACTTATAACAAAGCTATGGTACAGCGAAGAGCCAGCAAAAGAAAAAGAGAGGGAAAAGAGGAAAATCATAATGTGAAATACGGAAGCAATAGAACAATATAGAAGGAGGATAGAAAAAGTGAAGCTAGAGAAAAATGGAATAAATGAAATGTGGGAGGAACTGAAGAAAGCAGTAGATAGTTGCATGACGAAGAAGGAAGTGCGAAAACAGGGGAGAAGGAATGATTCAACATGGTTTGATCTAGAATGTGTAAGAAGTAAAAGAAGGATTAACAGAATGTACAAAAGGTTTAGAGCAGGGAAAACAAACAGAGAAAGCTATATAAGAAGTAGAGAGTGTCATAGAGAATTATGGAAAAAGAAAAGGTTAGAGGTAGCGGAAAAATGAACGGCAGAAGTAAAGCCAATAAGATCGGACACGGAAGCATGGAAAATAATAAATAAGTAGAGGAAAAAAAGGGTAAGGATAGGGAACGATGCACCAATAGGAAGATGGAAAACACATTTTATGGACTTGTTAGGTGGTTCAGAAGAAAGAAAAACCGCAATGAGAAAAAAACACGTCGAAAAGGATACAGAAGAGGAAGTAAAAGTGGAAGAAATAGCCGAGCAAATACGAAACTTAAAAACACAAAAACACAGGTAAAGGTAAAGACAGATCCCAAACGAAACATGAATGTATAGTACGGGAATAGTTAGAGACAAATTAATAGAGATAATACAAAGAATTTGGCAAGGAGAAGACATTCAAGGGGCTGGGAAAAAGGAATAATATATCCGCTATATAAAAAAGGATATACGGAGGTAACTTCGAATTACCGAGGAATTACGCTACTGAATTCGGGTTACAAAATCTATGCCGCAATTTTAAACAAAAGATTGACGGACGAAATTGAGAGTAAGGAAATGCTCCCAGAAATACAGACATGCTTCAGAAAAAAAAAGGAGTACAATAGATAACATATATATCCTCCAGCACATCGTAGAAAAGGAGAGATCGAAAACAGGCGACGAAATATACACCTTTTTTATGGACCTCAAGGCAGCATTTGATTCAGTAAACAGGGAAAAGCTGTGGCATGACATGGAAAAAAGATGAATAAGAAAAGGATTGATAGAAAAATAGTGGGGATATACGAGGAAGTAAGAGTGGAGGTGTATGCAAAAGGAGGTAATAGTAAAGAGTTCTGGTTAACGGAAGGCGTACGGCAAGGTTGCCCTCTGAGCTTAATGTTGTTTGCCATATATACAGCGGATGGAAGACTAACTGAGGAAAATGGGCATTGGAGGTGTAGAAATAGGAGGCAATAGGACATGTAGTCTAGCCTATGCGGACGATGTAGTATTAGTTGCAAAAAGTGAGGAGGCCCTAAAGGAGATGACGACGGTAGTAAAATGCTACCTAAAGGAAAAGAAGCTAATACCGAGTTGGGAAAAATTAAAGATGATGGTATTTAAGGAAGGTAGAGGAAGGAAAAAGGACAGAAAATGGTGCTGGGGAAACAAAGGAATAGAAGAAGTAGATAAATTTACATACTTAGGCTATACTCTCAACAAAAACGGAAATAATAACGATCATATAAACAATCTGATCAAAGAGAGAAGGCATGCTAGCGGCAAAACAAGTATAGGGACTAGGCGAAAGATTATTTAGGGATAATTTTAGGAAGCGAATGTGGCTATATGATAAATTAGTCGCAAGTGTAATGAGTTACGGTGTAGAGATGTGGGGTTGAAAAGAATGGGAAGAGGTGGAAAAAGTCCAAACTAAATATATAAAGTGGTGCCTCGGATTGGATAGATGGACGCCAAACTATATAGTACGAAAGGAAACATTAAGGAATAAAGTACACATTGATACAATAAACCGAGCGGCAAGATTTGGGGAAAAGAACGAAACAGATGTCAAAAAGATACTATTAAAAAAGTGTGTGGAAGAAGTAACAAAAGGCCAAATAAAAACAGGGTGGGTAAAACAAAGGATGAAATGTATTAATGAATGTGTGTTCAGTCAAGAAGGATGGGAAGAGTTAAAGAGGAGAGGAGCAAAGGTAAAGACATACTAAAGGAAAGAAGAATTGAAATAGATAGACAAATCCTACACGAGAAAACCCAACAATCAAGATATAACAAGAGGTATAAAGAAATAGAACCCCATATACAATTACCAACATATCTACAGATTGAAGAGAAAAAGATGATGCAAAAAATAAAAGGAAAAGTCAGATGCGGAAACATGGAAGATGACAACAAATATTGGGAAACTGAAGAGAGGAGGAAATGCATATTATGCAAAGAAAAGGCTGGTACATTATGACACATGGTTAAAGAATGCAAAGAATTAAACAGAGTAGGCTTCAGCATACAAAAAATAATATCAGAGGTATACACAGAGGAAGTTACAGAATGGTGTAAAGTATTAGATAGGAAAAGAAAAGAAAAAAGCTTAATAACTGAATAACATTATATAAAGTAACGATAATAGGAAAGTGCAATAAGAGGATAAAAGGGAAAGAACGAATGTATATAGGAAGAAGAATGCATGTATGGAGGAGTGAGGAGTGAGAAAGAGTGAACACGGAGTGACTATACAGGTAGAGAAATAAGAACAGGCTAGATGAAAGGACAATAAATAAATAAATAGTATAAATATATGAAAATCAATGGCAATGAAGAAAAACCAAAGAAATGTAAGATATAAATAAAATAGTTATATTATACCATGCTAGATTAAGTCATATTACGTTATCATATATTATATTATATTATACTGTATAAAATATGTAGATGTATAGAGGTACGGGTGGGTATGTATGGGTATGTATGTATATATGAACGTTTGCACACGCAGGGCACATGTGTATGTATGAATATATATAGGTCTTCTATGAACGAGATGAACAGTGAAAGAGAGATACAAGATAGACTTAATGTAAAATCGAGTCCATTTCTTAGCAGTATAAGCTGAAATAAATAAATCTATCTATCTATCTATTATCGTAGCCTATATTTAGCCGATCTTTAAGGCAAAGGAATGATAATTACAAGAAAATATGACAATCGACATAAATGGGTGATAATAATGTGGGCAACTTTCACCGCTGCTCATTGTCTTCCGGCGGGAGAAAGCCCTTCGTTGGAGTTCTAAGAAGACATCGCTCAAGTCCAAGGACAACAACCACAGATGGGGATTCTTAGAAGCCAAGCTGGGATGTCTGGACCAAAGCTCAGGATACGTTTTTGACGCATTCTCCTACCAGCATACAGCGCAAATAAAACAGTTACCTGGCAGCAAAACAACTCTTTATTATAAAATCTCCTACACTAATTCATGCTGATTGTCATTTTTTGTTTCAATTTTCATTTCTTTGCCTTCAAAATCATGCGAAGGTCATGATGTGCTAGGTCGTTGAATTCGGATAGATAAAGGCTATAACAGTATTAGGTCAAAAATATAAAGTATCATTTGAAAAAACGAATTTGATCTTCAAAGTTTAAAAAAAAAGAAATTTTTTTAAAATTTCTTTTTCAAAATTGTATGGAATACAGAAAAGACAGTAACGTGGATTAAAAATAATTTTTTGTCAGATTATCGCAAGTACTTGAAAGTACCTGCCTAACAATCCGTGGAACATCCTGTATAGCCAAACCCTAATACCAAAAAATGAAATAAATATAGATCGGTCCTTTTTACGTCATTTTATCCTACACTAAAGATAAAGTTTATGGCTTTTTATAACTATCGCGATTTTATAAACAAAAAATGTTTCATATTCGAATATGTATCTAGAAACACGATATCGGCTAGGTCTAGATAGGTCTTTCTTTCAAAGAACTCCTCTATTATGTGCAATACACTTTTTACATTAATGTTACCTATTTTGACCTAGAACTACATTTTATCGTTACTTTTGCAATTGAAGCGATCAATGTCGATAAATCAAATAATACGTACCAACTGAGCAATTTTATCCCCTTGATTATCAATGTAATATTGAATAGTTTTCAAACGAGCAAGCGATTCGTTTATCTGTCGTTGTAGTGGCTGAATTTGTAAATCCAATGCAGCAAGTTTATATAATAACGTGTCTTGCTGTTTCATTAAAGGTTGTACTCGTCTCGAAGTTAAATCTTGCATGTTTATTACTATAGTTTCCAAGCTTCTAGCTGTTAATCTATCACTCATTTGTTGGGTAACCTTATCCAATTGATCCGACAGGGCTTCTAAATCTTTATTCAGAATTTTTCCTTGGATCTAATAACAAATAAACAATCGTAACATTTTGAAATGTTGAAAATGGTAATCGTATTTCAAAGAAAAAAAGGTATACAGTATTTTAGAACAGCGGTCGACAACTTTTCGGACTTGACGGACTAAATACAAGATTCGTAATTTTTAATCTTGCGGACCACCGAATCTTTTCTTTTTCCCGAATCTTTTTAAAAAGAAAAATATATTTGTGAAACAATAATTAGAAAACTTTCATATTATTAATACGAAATTCAATTTTCTATGTAATATAGGAAAATTGAAAATGCTTCATTAATTATATAACTGAATAACTTACAAAAGCTTAAATGCTTATTAATCATTTCTACTATCATTTCTCTGCAGACTACCAAAATTTTCTCATGGACCATCAGTGGTCTGCGCACTACCGTATTAAAGAATTTATAATTGAAGGAGAAAATGTAATTGTTCCGAATTTCATGTACCACGCTGTCCCATCGTTTCTGAAAAGATTTTTGTTAGATAGAAAATTTACAGTCAATTTTATAAAAAACATCATAATTTCTCGAAAAAATATTTCTAAAACTATTAATTTTCTGTTGTTTCTTTATTTCTTTCCTCATTTTTAGATTTTTAAACATGTCAGAGTTGTAAACTATCTTTTTAATCTTTTATCGAAGCGACTTTTATATTTTATTTTATTAACTTTATAAACGTTGCGCGTTTTCCTTGAAAATGAAAAGTATATATTCCCATCTCTTTCCTTTCCATTATGTAACCACTATAACGTACATATATACATATACACACTTACTGATGAAAGTTAAGAAACAACGTAATTGTTTGATAATTTGGGTATATTCTCTAATTTCTACGATTACAAAGGTTGAAACTAAAAATAGCATAATAATATAACATTCCATATATCAGTAAACAATGAGTTTTTTTCAAATATACTTGTGCAAGGACCACAATTAAATTGAATCGAAGAAATAAGACAAAATCTACGTGACATAAATTAAGAAACATACAAAGTACTCACAGTAAGTTGAGATCATTACGTAAAAAACATATTCCGAAACACTTGGTTCACTTTCTGACATCGCTGAATGTCGTTCATATTATAGTTTGTGTTAAATATGATAGGAAGGCAACATTTAACAGATAACAAATAAAGCTTTTTGTAAAAAAACCGGAAAGAAATTAATAAAGGTTCTAACAGCTCTCTTACGACCGACCTCTAAAACTTCTGATTTCAACTGACTTTCAATACTGATTTCAAACTGCTAATCTTAAAATCTGACTTCAAACTGGAAACTGAAACTCTAAACTGAAACTGAAAGATTGCCTCGCCCTTACCCTTGCATCCTTATTTAAACCTTGCGTTCTGCCTTCTTTCACATTCAGGCTTTCTTTCTTGTTCATGCATTGGCCATGCATTTTTCACGCGACCTCGGTGAGCCATGTCCTTCAAACACAGGACGCATTCGTAATCTTTCACTCGTTCATCGGATTCGCCACTGTCATAAACAACCCTTACATTCGATCCTCTTGCACGTGGTGACTTTCATTCTATATCCCAAACGCTCTTAACATTCTTTCAGGGCTGTAATAAATTAATGTCATTATTCTTTCATTATTCATCATACATTATCAAATTTATACCTCTATTTATATAGATAATTTTAATATATATTTAGGATGCTAGGGTTTGAGAGTGAGTACAAGGGAACACTTCTGCCTATTTGGCTGGTGGATAATAAACAGGGGCTTCGAGTTCGGATCGAAGATTGAGGGTGATATTTTGGAGCGCACATAGAAGGACGAGTGACCGTGTGCAAGGATTGTATGGACAGGATGTTTATCAGTGGTGAAAATAAGATACGTCTTAACGTATTTACAAAAATCAATCTCTTGTGAGAAATAGATATGTCTTTGAACTGTACGTCGAAGAGGTTTCGGGAACGCGTCAAGTGTTTACTTCACGCTATAGATAAGAATTAGAGGTCCAGGACGAGCTGCAATTGCATACCCTTTTTCATTACTCTAGTTTTGTCTCTGCGTGCATACACTCAGAATACAGAAGATATACCTTCCTAAGAATAGAATAAAGATAATTATAAAGAACGATAGTTATTTCTTTTTACCCATAATCCGAATAATGAGTGATTGAGAAAGAAAGCTTGTGTGTGAAAGAAGAGAGACTGTTAGGTTTAAATACGGGTGCAAGGGCTGTCTTAGGACCAGCCCTTTACGGAGTTTTTAGTGAGAGTGAACGTGAGAGTGTCGGTCGGTTGCGTAATCATACATAGATACTAGTTTAGTCTTTTAACCTCTTAGACACGGCGGAACTTTACGCGGGGCTGTTTCTCGGTACGGCAGAGTTCAACGCGAATTACGTGTATATGATACGGCACTGCAATGTGTGACGGATAATGCTGTTCTTTACACGAGTACATTGGAATAAAGTGTTTGATGATTAAATTATAATTTTTCATTAGTATTTATAAAAATATTTATTTTTAAAATTTTTTAAAATTAAAGTATGATTTTAACGCTCATTTTAACTTTAACAATTTATTCTAACAATTAATAGTACATTTCAGTATGATACGTCTTAAAACACACAGAGATGGCATCCGGGAAAGTCACTATACTGGTGCGTCGTACAAAAAAATACATCCGCTTAAGCCACTATAGTGGTGCGCCGTACAGAAAGATGATATCCGCGAAAGCCACTATAGTGGTGCTCAGTGCCTAAGAGGTTAATTTATACTTTACTTTTATTGTTAGTTTCATTTAGCTCGTAATAAATACACAGTGCTGGACAAAAGTATTGTCACAGCATGGTTGTTATGGTACAAGTGCTTATAACTACTAAACAAATTGATTTAAAAGGAAAACTTTTTGATATATTCATTTATTATCTATTCTAGTTTATTACATAGTAGAAGCAATAATATAAATACATTGATTCACAAAACAATAACAAAAATGTATTTATTGAACATTTTATGTGTGGGAAAAAGGATCGGGTTTATAATGACTTGACTTTATACTTTGATTTATATTTTATTCTCTGGCGATACACGTATGCGGAGGTTTGAGTCTTGTACGATGCGTGATGCAGACCGTTGACTGTCGAAAGAGTGCGTCGTCAAACCCTTGAGCCAGGGTTTTATAGGCCCTGTGAGGTAGTGTCTTGTCAAACCCTTGAGCCAGGGTTTTATAGGCCCTGTGAGGACCCATTGCGTCACTCAGTCCTGCCTCGAAACCGATAGGCTGACAGTTTCCTCGAAGCAGTATAGATCTCTATGCAGGGTGGCGCTGTCCAAATAAAGACTCCTCTCATATATGGGTGGACAAAAGTATTGGCACACTCGAATAAAAACGTTTAAAAATGACTTGGAATTAAATATTAATATTTAGTTGACCCTCCTTTCCTTTTAAGGACTTCCTTTAATCGTTTGGGCATTGAATCAACTCACTTTTTTGTAAAATCCGGCTCGATTTTATTCCATTCTTGTAAAAGAACATTCTTCGAGTCTGCTTTACTTATTGTACGATGTTTTCGAATCCTTTTTCCCAATTCGTTCCAGACATGTCCGATATGACTCGCGTCTGGATTCTGGGGTGCTGTATTTAAGGAATGAGAAGTATTAAAAATGATCCAATGGCGTACGATGTAAGCGGTGTGCTTTGGATCGCGGTCTTGTTGGAAATTGAAATTCCGCGGGAGATTTAATTTTTCTGCACTTTTGAATAAACTTTGTTTTAATATATTTAAATATGCGTATTTGTCCATAATATCGTCTATAAAAATTAATTCGCCAACACCAGATGCTGCCATGGAACCCCATACCATAACTCCACCACCTCCATGTTTTACACTCGATTGTAAATTTCGAAGATCCAATTCGGTATTTGGGTTTCTCGAAACTAATATTCTACCATCAGATTTAAATATGTTAAATTTGCTTTCATCTGAAAACAGTATGTAGCTCCAAAATGTAGAATCCTTCGTTATAAATTCTTTGGCAAATTCAACCCTCGTCTTTCGATTTTTTCCCGATATGTATGGCTTTCTTCGAGCAACACATGCAGAATATCCAGCAGGTTTTAATACTTTGTTATTCTTTTTATTTTTCAATGCTTTATTTAATATCATTCGGACTTCCGAGGCGTTTAATTTAGGATTTTTCTTCACTTCGTTTACAATTTTATGTTTTTCTCTAACAGATAACGTGAGCGGACGACCACTTCGATTCGCACTATCAAAATCTGATTGATTTATAAATCGTCTTACAATGCTTCTAATAGCAAAACGACTTTTGTTAACAATTTGTAATAATTCGCTGTAAGATTTTCACATTTTATACAAATTTAATATTATTTCTCCTCTCTTCATTTGTCATTTCTTTCGCTTTTCTCGATATTATTACATTTTCTTACTTTGCCTGTTGCTAAACGACTGAAGTTTAGGATGATCGTTGTTAAAAATGACTAATCGGGGTGTCACCTAACTAGATTTTAAAATGACGATCGGAAATTTTTCAAACAAATGCAGATATACTACATTTAACATCGTGTGTCAATACTTTTGTCCACCCATAAAATGTTCGATAAATGCATTTTTGTTATTGTTTCGTGAATCAATGTATTTATATTATTGCTTCTACTATGTAATAAACTAGAATAAATAATAAATGAATATGTCGCGTCGCGTCGCGATCTAAACTCTCGTGTTTCAGGGACGGGTTGTACAGCCGTCTCGCGACTACGACACGTGTTGCCCGCCAAATGAATATTGGGCAACTGTTTCAGTTGCACGAGCAGAAAAACGTCGCCTGTACGACGGTCTACGTTCGAAACTCGTTGGAAAGACACGATGTCGTTGAGCGCTCGTTCGGAAGTCGTTGCAAAGAACCGATGTCCTTGCGTGCTCGATTGGAAGTGAAGTGTCCTGACCAAGGGCGTTCCCTTGGTCCGCGAATCCGTTACCTTGGAGTGAGGGAAGGTTCCCC